TCACGTATACACCGAATAAAAATTTTATACAAGAAAAAATTTTGTTTGTACTTTAGATCCATCTGTTTCTATACTGGCAGTAATCTAGAAGTTGACCATGAGAACAAGTAGTAATTAATTAATTAAAAAGTTAATTAGTACATGTTACACTGACTGGAATACGTAAGACATATTGTACTTTCGTCTTATTGTTTTGCTTAATGTTAGGCATGACGGGGTTGTTTTACTTCTCCGTTCACTAAATTGGTAACTATTTAGTAAGGATGTTGCTGAAAAATTATTGGTTAGGGATGAAAGACGAACGAGGTAGGTCCTCTACATCTTGGTTGTAGAGAGCCCCTACAATTTGCAATAACATCTCCTCACTCGGTAGACCTCATCGATTGATACTCTTAACAAAAGTTACAGTCAATATAATTTTTTATTGTGGGACCCATTGAATAAGTTAATATCATTAATCCATTTCCGGGGTGTTTGTTTCACCAAAATTTTTGGCATTTGATATGGATAACAAGTTTTGGGATCAAAAAGTGAGTTTTTTTGTGTTTTGGGATTCCATATATGGTGTTTGTTTTAAGAATTTTTTTTAGAATATTGAATCCCAAAAGTGCAAAAAATACACAATTTTTAGAATTTGCCAAAACCTCTCAATTAGAGAGGATTTTAACAAATCCCATAAATCAGTGTGCTTACCTCTCAATTGGAGAGGATTTGAGAAATCCCAATTTTGTCTTTTTGTGGGAGGTAACCTCACCAAGATAGTATATTCATCATATTACAAAATTTTAACATTTGGTAGTGCTACAATTTGAGCTTGAAACAAACAAAATATTACAAATTGTAGTATTTCAAATCCCAAAATATTAATGAAACAAACAACATTTTAGAAATCTCAACTCATAACAAAACACCTATAGATTTCAAATCCCATGGTGAAATCCATATCCTAAAATTATAGGATTTGAAACAAACACCCCCTTAACCAATCATAAGAATTCTCTACTATTAAAGAATACAGAGAATCTCAGGCCAGAAGGACCGTTCATGTAGTACCTATGGGCAGGTATTCTAGCACTTGAATATTGAGTAACAGGTGAATGTTTATTAATACATGGTTTTAACTAGAGTTTTGATGACGGATTACAGTTTAGCTAACTAGGATTTTTTTTCCTAATTGTGTTTAACTAATATCAATAAGTTCCCTAGAGCCATAGTACGATTTTCAAGTATAAAAAGCTGATTCCAGCTGTCAAGTAAATGAGATTGATTCTAATTTAATGCCTGATGTCTTTAGTTAAATAACGAACCCCTTCCCTATAGTCAAAACCTTAATATCGTTTTCTTAGCGATCATACAAATGACTTCTAATAAAAGTTGGTTAGTAGAGAGAAAAAGTTGAAAGGCCCCAAAAGTCCGAGGTGAATTAATGAACCGCTTTCTTCGGCAAGTATCGACTATCAATAGTGAAAAGGAATACAGCACCCTTTTTGGAGCACTTTTTACCATAAAAACTTACATCATCGTCTTACAACTCACTTCTCTGCATCTCTTTCATCAGTTTCCATAATATATGCACCAAATAACGTTTCCAAATAGTTTCAATTCCTATGACATATCTAAAGTATTCCTATTAATTAGGTGTGTTTGGTAGTCAATGTGTTTTTTTTTTTTTCTAAAAAACATCATGTCATGGTGTTTCTTTTTTAAATCTGTTTTGAAAACACCATTTTGATCAAACTAGTTTGACCATTTATATAATGGCAGTGGGCGGGCGGCGGCGGCGGGCGGGTGGGCGGGTGGTTGGCACGGGCGACGCCGTCGGGGGAAAAACGACGATGTCGGCGTGAACGGCGGCGGGTGCGAAGCGCAGCTGGGTGACGCGGGGCGGGTGGGCAGGTGGCGGCAGGTGGGCGGGTATCGCCTTCGGTGGTCGGGGCCTAACGGTCGGCCGGCGGCGGTTGCGGGTCGGGTCGGCGGTTGGCGCGTGGTCCGGGCAACAATTGCGGCATGGGCGGCGGGTTTCCGGCCGGGTGGCCGGCAAAGCGATGGCGGTGGTGGCGGTTGCGGGTGAGGGTGGCCCGACCAGTTGGTGGGCGGAACAGGCGGGTGCGGTGGCGGGCGCGGGTGGCCGACGGGTGGCGAGTGCCTGCGCGGGCGGCGGGGCCAGCAGGCCGCGGACGTGGGCGGTGGTGGCGGGTCGCCGACTCGTTGGCGGTAGGAGGCGGTCGGACGGTGGCACGGTGGGCGGTGGTGCGGAGGGTGAAGAGTGGCGGGACGGCGCGGCTGACGGACGGCGGGGCGGCCGGCGAGCGCGGGGGGAGAACCGGTGGTGGGGCCTAGCGGGCGGTGGCGACAGAACGGGCGCCGCGCCGGCCATGCCGGCGGGACGGCTGGCACTGATCGGACGAGCGGGCGGTGGTGCTGCGGGATATAGCGCGAGGGACCAACCAAGGGCGACGAATGGGCAGCAGGCGGGCGTGCGGTGGCCGCCGTGAGCCTGGCTGGCGGCTGGCGGCGGGCGTACGGAGCAGCGGCGCGAGCGGCGCTGCGGCGGCTTAGATGAAAAAACGGAATCTTAAAATATTTTTTTGGTGTTTTAAGAAAAATGTTTAATTTTTAGATTTTGTAAAGGGACAAGTCAAAAAAACGCACCGGTTGCCAAACGTGTTTCTTTGTTTTTGTTGAAAAAAACAGAAACGACAAAAACGTCACGGTTACCAAACGCTTCCTTAAGCAATTAGACACAACATGCCACCTTCCCCTTACTTTAAGGTTTTTTTTTCTTTTCCTTCAATAATATTTTACTTATTTAGCAATTATATTCAAGGATACCTTGAGAAAGTTTATGAACACCAGGGTTTCTTTGGTATATAGGTAAAGGAGGATAAAGTTTGCCCAGTCAAATATTATTCCATCTTTATCCATATTTGTTATCCTTCTAAAACTTCGCAACAATAAAATTTAACCTTATATGAGGATAAACTTTTAACCAAGCTAGGGAATAGAAGAAAAGATAGTGAAAAGCTAAGATTTGATTCATTTAAGCATGTAAATATACAAAAAAAAACCCTAAAAGTTCTAAAACTTACAACAACAAGCCACTTAAAACCTAAAAATTGACAAGATCCCTTGTAGAGTAAAAAAATTATAAACAACCCCATGAATAATTACAAATTATAGAAACAACTCAATGATGTAAAACTCAATAAAAATCACAAAAAGTTATGCTAAAAACTTCAAAAAAACCACTTAAAATTTCAAAACATACAAACAACCCCCAACAAGAACTTATAATTTATAGAAAACACCCTATAGATTTTGAATAAAATTTAAAAACGAACAAACAATATATTGAAATTATAGGAACTCCAAATAGCCTCAAATTGGAATTTACATAAAACACCCTAACAATTTTATAAATTGCAAAAAAATCCTCAAATTACAAATTTTACAAAAACCCCTAAGAATTTCAATCCTCCAAACAGTACACTAAAATATAGTAATTACAAATAGACCACTAATTTTTTGAAATTTATAGAAAACACCCTAAAAGTTTTTAAGAAGTACAAAAAACTACTTGGAAAATTCAAACCTATAAATAGAATACTGAAAATATAGGATTATAGACAACCCCTAAAAATTTAAACTTTGCAGAAAATACCCAAGAAGTTTTAGAAATTGTAATAAACACCCTCAAAAATTAAAAGTTTATAAAAAAAACCCTAAATTTTTCAAATGTACAAACAATACATGGAAATTTTATAAATTTATAAATTTATAAAAGCACCCTAAAAGTTTAGAAAATTGCAAAGAACACAGTCAATAATTGAATTTATAAAACACTTATTTGTCAGTTTTGATCTTTTTAGGGTGTTTTCTATAAAATTTGAATCTTTAAGGGTGATTTTACAAATTTTGAAACTTCCAAGGTATTTTTTACAAATTCCAAAAAACTTTCAGGGAGTGCTTGTAATCCTATATTGTCAATATCTACTCCTCTATACAAATGGGAGAACCCAAGATTCACTATTCATGCTATAGTAAATGCTACAGCAGCATTACTGTAGTATTATTATGTAGTAAACATTTGAAAAAATATCATTGTAGCACACGGGAATATTGTAGCCTTTTTAAATATCTGTAGCAACGGCATGAACTGTAGAACCAAAAATTTTAAAATATTACTACAGCAATTAAAAATTGCGATTACTATAGCGGAAAAAAAATGATATGTCGTGTTTTGCATGGTGTTCACGACTAGTACTTAATTTTTATATGTTTAAAATCCTTAGGATGTTTTTTATAATTTTTAACTTTGAGGGTGTTTTCTGCCTTTTTTTTAATTCTAGGGTGGTGTCTATAAATTTTGAATTGTGCGTGAGGTTTTTTATAATTGTCAAAAATTTTAGGGGATTATATATAAGTTTAATATTTTAAGAGGGTTTTTTATAATTTATGCATTTTCAGTTGAGAGTGTTACAGATCCTTTTGCATTAAAATTTAACCCTAATGACACGTTATACCGAACACAGGAATGTTCCTCCCAACTATTTTAGGATAATAACTATCATGTTAAAGCTTAATCCTGATTGCTTCAACCTCGTACCAAACGAGCCCTAAGGGATTTTGTGAGACATCCAAAGTTTAAGGAGTTTTGTGAGTTGAAGAAAAGTTTAGAGGAGTTAAGTGCAAAAACCTCATGTGGGTTTTCTTAAATTAACCCATGATTTTAAGGATTGATTATATTCTAGCACCCCTAAGGTATGTTATAATTACGTAGGTGATCTTGGAGTTTACACATCTACATGGGCGATCTTAAGATTGTTAATTGTAGTTACACGAGTAGACAAGAGTAGCTTGCAATTCGGGCTCCAGGTTGCTTGTGATTACAAGTAGCAATGCCAAAGTCATCCATATAGATATGCAGATTCCAAAGTCACCCGTATAATTACATCATACCTCAAGGTGGAATGAAATAATCCTTATTTTGGTTCTAGATTAAAAAATAAAAAGATTAAAAAATAAAAATGAAAACTGGTTAAGAACAACTTTATCTTGGGCCACTTATTATTATGGAGAGCACACCGGCCTGAATAAGATGAGAATCTCATCACAGCACCGACCTTTATTCAGCCCAAAAATTATCATATCACTTCTACTCCAGAAGAATAAGGAGAACAAGGAAATATAAAAGGAAAGAAAATTAAAAATTATTTAGACTTCTACAATAGTAGTGATACAATATGAAATGAATTAAATAGATAAATAATCAGCGCCTAATTACATCAAATCCTTGAGAGTGATCACTGGTGCTGCTGGTTTTTCCTGTAGACACGAGCGAAAGATTATTCAACAGATATCAATCTTTCTGAAACTTTCTTTAGTGATTATAACACTATTTTTTTTTAATCTGCTTCAAATTTAAGGGATGCGGGGATTTTAACACGGTTTGCTCTGATACCATGTTAAAGTCGCTATCACTGTACCAGCCTCAAGAAATTAAGAAATTAAGACCAAAATATTCGCTAACCTGTCCGTTTGAATTATTACCACTCTGCAGAGGTCGACCACGCTCATCATAGAGAATAAGCCCGCTAAACTTTGGCATCTCACATCTCTCCCCCATCAGTATCCTCCTCTGCCAAAGCAACGGCGTGTTCGTCGCTGCAGCTTTCTCGACCTTCTCTCCTCTCTCCTCTCTATCTCCACTCTCGGCCTCCGCCGCATCACTTTCATCCTTCAACCGCAATGCACTCTTCAGAACCTTCTTGATTTCTTGCCATTTAGACACAGATTGTTCAGTCTCACTCCCGGATTGCTCAGCCTGAATCCTTCGCTTTCTTATCACCGCAGATGCACAGAGACCAATAGTAGCAAATGCAGCGACGAAAAATACGAGAATCGAATACGAGGATTGCATGGTGTAGTTGCTTTGAGTTTGGAGGGTTTGTGAAGAGAGGTAAATGAGGAGAGTGACTTGAGGAGTTGCTGGTGATGTCTTTTGTGCGCTTCAATTGAACTCCATGTCAAATGCTTGCAGTAGTAATTGAAGGGACCCGTGAGCATTGCCGCTGAGAGCTTTTTTGGGGGTGACATTGATTGCAGATTTTGTGTCTCATGGGATTTATCTTGCTTTGGGTAATGGATAGCCGTTGGAGCTGACAATTTTGGAAGTGATTTGCTTTGAAGTTTAAATTGCTATCTGGTGGGTTTTTTTTTTTTTTTTTTTTGTGAGTTCAGAAGCATTCTATTTTGGGTTCTTTCGTAGGAATTTTGGTTGGGTATATCTCACATAATCAACCAACAATTTGGCCCATTTTGAGATAACGCCAGAAACTCTTGAAAATGTCACATACACCAAAACGTTGTATCAGATAGACAACCAATCCAACACTTTTTTTTTGGGGGGGTGCTATGTGACACTTTCAAAAGTTTTTGGTGTTACATCAAAATGAGCCACTTCTGGGGGTTATGTGAAATTTACCCAATTTTATTTGGATGAGAAAATACTGGGTACTAAGTTGCATCATACGCTCAAATTACCCATCTGCTTGTGATTGTTCCTATACGTATGTAGCCTATGGACAAACAAGTGGATACCCGAATGCCATCTTGGATCTGCTGAACTCGAGTTCGTTCGGTCTAGCAAAGGCATGAGATTGGGTTCAGTCCAACGTTGAAGAACAATTTGGTTGAAACATGATTCCATATACTTGGCTGCATGACTAACATTGTAATGTAATCAGATCAACAGGAACCAATTAATGCAAGTTTCGAAGATCACTTACCAGCAACATAAGGCATACATTCAGGAAACTGCAAACATTGCTCAGTCATGAAAATATAGGCGTATAAACCAGTTTAAATTTCACTGCAGGCCTCGTGAGCAAAACTCACCGTCCATCTTTCCATTGATTTCCATCATAAGAACACAAGCAAGTAATAAAATTATTAAAAATTACACAGTGTGCTCTTGGAAATGGCTGCTCTTATATCTGACACTTCTGGTTACAAATCCAGATTTTAGTGACTAGGATTTACAAATTGTGCAGCTGGAACACTGAGCAAGAATACTTCCCCTGCTCTCTGCAAAAGTTTGATGAACTTATCAGAATCTCATACTAGAGAAAGAAAGCAATACAAAGGAATCTAAAAGATTTAGTTGAAGATTTCATTTGTTTGTCAGGTGTTTATTTCTTGGGTTAATTTCAGACAAACCCTACACTGTAGGATACTGTACTTAACCGCCCTAAACATTAGGGGTTATTGCATATAACTATTAACCCCCTACAACTTTTATATTCAATTAAATCCCTACTGAAAAATTTCTCATTAAATCCTAAAATTAGCACCATCAGCTCTAACATGTCACATGGCAAGCACGTGACAGAAAAAGATGAAAATAACCCCTTAGTTCCAAAAAATTTACCCTTTTGTGCTTGTTAATAAAAGGGTATTTTCTGGGGGTTTGAGAAGAATTTTCATCTTTCTTGTCATGTACTAGTCATGTGACATATTACAGTTTTCTGAAATTAACCCTTATTTCTTCAAACCACCATTGTAGAACATATCACAAATCAAATTTGAGAAGCAGCACAAAGAAAAAAGCAGAGATTTCGAAATGAGCCATAATGATAGTAAAATTGTTGTGTCGTAGTAAAATTGTTACGTGTCATAATTATCCTCTCAATTTATTAAAAGTTTAGTTTCTCCTAGACAGTTCATACGACTAGCGAATTCATTTCTGCAATGTACGGTAAGAATCATATCCTTCCTCATCTTTAAATTCCCTTATCTTTTTACCCCCTTTTGTTTTCAGTTCAAAGCACTATCTCTTGTTGATTGGAATGTAATTTAAGCATTTAAGGATATAGTTGTTGGAAATTGGGGTGTAGCCCAAACCTGGCTGGCGACGAGCTTCTCCGACGAGCTTCAGGCGACCCCGATGAAGCTCAGGCGAGCTCGAAGTAGACCCGCAGGCGAGACGACTTCAGGCGAGGTTGGTTGTGGGCGAGTTTGAGGTCGAGACCCTCTGCAAGCGAGGTTGGAGCTACAGGCGGGGTTTTTTTGGCATGCTTCAGGCGAACTCGAAACCCTAGCGTCAGGCGAGATCTGAAGTCGAGCACAGGCGGACTTAAATGATTGAAGGCGAGCTCGAGTTGGTTTGGCGAGCTCGAGCGGCCTGCTACAGGCGAACTTGAAGATCTTGCAGGCGAGATTTGAGTGAGGAACGAGCAGGCGGGCTCGGAGTTCGCCTCCCCCTTCTTTTCGCCTGCGATGTTGGGAAACAGCTGGACCTAGCTGTCTGGCTAAGGTTTTCCTATTTAAGGAAACCCATGAGCACGAGAACAGGGCCGCTGTTCCGTTATCTTCTTCTCAGCGATTATCTCTGGCGGCGGCCATTTTTTGAGCTCGAGATTTTCAGATGAAAATCTCGTTCATTTAAGAAGAGTTCCTGTAGCAATTTATTGAGGAGAGAGAGGAGATTTTACTGCTGTAAAATCTCACGCCTTTTGTAGGAGCAACAGATAGTTTTTTTGTTTGCTTCTTTTGAGAGATCTCAAGTTGAGATCTTCTATTTTACAAGCTTTGTAATCTTCTTTAAATATAAAAGGAAATTATTTGTGTGACTCCTGAGGACGTAGACAAGTTGCCGAACCTCGTTAAAACTCGGTGTTCTTTGTTCTTGTAATTATTTTTGATTTGTTGTGATTTTTTTTCATTGCTTAACGCAAGATCCGGTAGGGCAAATTCCACAGTGGGTTCATATTTGACAGGTGGTCGAGTAGCTTGAATCCCTAACAACGGATATCAGAACGTATTTGATATTTCCCTAACAACCGGTATCAAAGCTCTTGTTCAGATCTGTGTGTGTAAGAAATGGCAGAAGAATGCAAATTAAAAATTGAGAAGTTTGACGGATCAGATTTCGCCTACTGGAAGTCACAGATAGAGGACTATCTGTACCAAAAGGATCTTTACCGTCCGTTGATGGGTAAAAAAAAGGACAGAAGAAAGAAGAATCCGATGAGGACTGGGAAATATTGGATCAAAACGCTCTGGGACAGGTCCGATTAGCCCTCGCAAAATCTGTAACACACAATATATTAAAGGAGAAGATGACAGTGGGGCTTATGAAAGCGCTCGCAACGATGTACGAGTAACCGTCAGCTACAAATAAGGTGCATCTCGTCAAGACGCTATTCAACCTCAAGATGGCAGAAAGATATTCCTTCACGATGCATCTCAGCGATTTCAACACGATTGTTGATCAACTCGTCTCAGTCGACATCACGTTTGATGACGAAGTGCAGGCCCTATTAATACTATCGCAGTTGTCGGATAGTTGGGCAGGTTGCGTGACCGCAATCAGCAACTCGGCAGGGAAGGAGAAGTTAAAGCTGAAGGAGGTGGTAGCTATGATTCTATCCGAGGAGGTTAGAAGAAAATCGAATGAATCGAAAGGTTCGGGTTCAGCCCTAAGTCTTGAGCAGAGAGGCAGAAGCCATAATAAGGGGAACCAAAACAGGAATCGATCGAAGTCGAAGAAGAAGAGGTCAAACTCAAAGGTGAGACCTATCAAGGGGAAATGTTGGAATTGCGGCCAGGATGGCCACATGTCTTCTACCTGTAAAGCATCGAAGAAAAATGAGCAGGAGGCTCATATCGTGCAAGATGCGCTGATTCTCGCTATGGATAGCGATTCTGATTCATGAGTTATTGATTCGGGAGCCTCATCCCACGTCACTGCTAATAGAAGGCTATTTCAGAACTATGTAGCAGGGAACTTTGGAAAAGTATACTTGGGAGATAATAAACCTTGTAGTGTCATTGGAAGAGGCGACGTGCAAATACAGTTGAAGGGCTCCAAGTGGTCTCTGAAGAACATCAGACATGTACCGAAGTTGAAAATGAATCTTATTTCGGTAGGTCAGCTTGGAGCAGAAGGCTATGTTACAACATTCACTGGAGATTCGTAAAAAATCTCCAACAGTACAATGGTGGTTGCCCGTGACAACAAGACCGGTACCCTCTACCTAACTTCACACGCGAGTGACACCCTCACGATTGCTGCAGGCAATGAGAGTGCAGATCTGTGGCACAACAGACTGGGACACATGAGTGAGAAGGGTATAAAGATTCTACACTCAGAAGGGAAACTAACCGGCATCGATTCGGTAGAAGTTGGTGTTTGTGATGACTGCATCTTCGGAAAGCATAAGAGAGTTAGTTTTATGAAGGGTGGAAGACCACCTAAAGCTCACAAGCTAGAGCTTGTTCATACAGATGTATGGGGTCCAGCTAGCGTGTCTTCTTTTGACGGTTCGGCGTACTACGTCACCTTTATCGACGATCACTCGAGGAAGGTGTGGGTATACTTCACGAAGCACAAGTCAGAGGTGTTCAACATCTTCAAGAAGTGAAAAGCCATGGTGGATAATGAAACAGATCTAAAAGTGAAGTGTCTGAGATCAGACAATGGTGGAGAATATGAATTGGAGGAGTTCAAGAAATTCTGTGCTCTGAACGGGATTCATTTGGAGAGGACTACTCCAGGGACGCCGCAACAGAACGGCGTAGCAGAAAGAATGAACAGAACGCTGACAGAGCATGCGAGGAGCATGCATCTAAATGCAGGTCTGCCTAAAACTTTTTGGGCGGACGCGATGCATACAGCAGCGTACTTGATAAATCACGAGCCATCAGTTCCATTGGACTTTGGGATTTCGGAAGAGGTTTGGAGTGGCGAGAAGATTAATCTCTCACACTTTAGAGTCTTTGAGTGTGTGGCATATGTCCACATCAGTGACCATGTCAAGGACAAGCTAGAAGCTAAGTCACTGAAGTGTACATTCATTGGGTACGGTATTGATGAGTTCGGGTATCGTCTGTGGGATGAGAAGAACAGAAAAATCATCAGGAGCCAAGACGTCATATTCAATGAGGAAGTGATGCACAAGGATAGGGACAATGCCAAGGCGGGCCAAAGCAGTGGGAGCAGTACTACAGATGCGGGTGCATCCGAGTATATGGATTTGGAGGAACTTCCAGATGAGGGAAACAACGTCAATTCTGACCAAAGAACGGAGGAGACTCCAGGTGCAGAACTGACTATCCAGGACGAGGAGCTTAGGAGGTCATCCAGGATACCCAAACCGAATCCCAGGTAATTCTCGTTACTAGACTACCTACTTTTGACAGATAGCGGAGAACTAGAATGCTATGAGGAGGCTATACAAGTGAGCGAATCTCAGCAGTGGGAGCATACAATGCAAGAAGAGATGAATTCTCTCCACTCGAACGAGATATGGGAGTTAGCTTAGCTACCTCCACAGAAGAAGACCTTACATAACAAGTGGGTTTACCGAGTTAAGCAGGAGAGTGATGGAAGGAAGAGATACAATGCCAGATTAGTCATGAAGGGGTTCCAACAACGGGAAGGAGTGGATTATACAGAGATATTTTTTCCCCGTTGTGAAGCTCACAACCATTAGGATGGTGTTGAGCTTGGTAGCTGCTAAAAATCTCTACCTTGAGCAGTTAGATGTGAAGACTGTCTTTCTTCATGGTGATTTAGATGAAAAAATCTACATGAAACAACCTGTTGGTTTCATTAAAGAAGGAAAGGAAGAGATGGTGTGTAGGCTCAAGAAGAGCTTATACGGATTGAAACAGGCTTCACGGCAGTGGTATAAGAAGTTCGATAACTTCATGCAGAGCAATGACTATGACAGATGTAATTCAGATCATTGTTGTTACTTCAAGAGGTTCGAGTCCAGCTATATCGTGTTATTGTTGTACGTTGATGACATGTTAGTTGCAAGACCGTTTTTACAGGAGATAAACAAAGTGAAGAAGCAGTTAGCAAAGGAGTTTGACATGAAGGATCTGGGTGCTGCGAAGCAGATTCTTGAGATGCGGATCAGTCGAGATGCGGCTGAGGGGATGTTGAAGTTGAGTCAATCTGAATACATTGAGAAAGTACTTCAGAGATTCAACATGCAGAATGCTAAGGTCTTTAGCACGCTCCTTGGAAGCCGGTTCAAGTTATCTGGTGAACAATCACCCAAGACTGATGCAGAGAA